TCTTTTCTTTCAAGTATGTACCATGCTTGACTTTACGAAACTCTACAGAACTCCATCCCCACTGCCCTGATGGCTCCTTAAGGTACACTCAGCCCCCTGTCTGCTAATGGTCTGCTAGCCTTAGCCATACAAATGATGAGTATGTTGAAAACAGAAAGAAGGTTGCAGCAACCGAACCCAGGGAAGTCATTGCTCCTGCCTGGGCTGCTATGTGCCAACAAGACAGGTCATCTATGCAGCAATTCAATTCAAACTGACTGCCTGAGCGGACAGTTGGAACACACCTCTGGTACTAGCCACTGAACTTGAGTCTGAGTCCTACCACTCTCTTTCTTCAATATCTGCAACAAGATAGAAACATCTTTATTTCAGTGTCTATCTATAATAGCAACATGGCATCAACTTGCCTGAGTCTCAACGGATGGAGGGATGATTTTATACAATTTCAAAATAACATCTTGCACAGGGACACATGAGCATTTGTAAAATCTTAGATGTGTATATTTCTGAACATTCTCACTGTGTTGGGTTTTGTTTTCAGTAATCCTATTATGATCCTTTCAAAATGCAGGATTGTCTTTTTCTGCCATGGGAGGTACAGCATAAACCCCTACTTTACATTAAAAACAGGATGTGGTAAATGGCATTCTCAGGAGTTGATGCTCTATATAGTGTGTGTGTGTGTGTGTGTGTGTGTGTGTGTGTGTGGTATATGTGTTTTGTAGTATATGTGTGTGTGTGTGTGTGTGTGTGACATGTGTGTGGGGGTACATGTACATATGTATACACGTGTATGGAAGTCATAGACAACTTTGTACCTTATCTTTTGAGACAGAGTCTCTCACTACACCTGGCACTCATTGATTAGCTAAACTACTTAGCCAGCATGCTCCAGGAATCCAACTATCTTCCCAACATCAGCAATGTGTTATGAATTTATGCTACAACACACAGTTAATGTGGTTGCTAGGGATCTGAACTAGGGTCCTTATGCATGCATGGCAGCCATTATAGCAATGATCCATCTCCCCAGGCCCCTGCTAATGTCTCTTGAGAAGACCTCCAAGCCCTTTGTATTTACTTACCTGTTTTAATATAGAAGACACTCAAAGTAGTATGGCTGAATTTTCAAAAAACATTAACATTGAAAATTTCAACCCATCCTTCAGAAAATTGGACATGCAGATCTTGTCCAGAATATTGGAGGTGTGCCTCAAGGAGCAGTAGACACGCAGCAGGAAAAGCAAGCTGACTGCTTAGCACCAGCCTGAGAGTTGGCATCTGTCCATCTCTGTGCTTTTACCCTCTCTCTCAGAGCTCATTTCAAGTTGAAAAAGACAAGTTGAGTGCCTGTCTAATATAACTTCATAGGTGAGGCTACCAAGGTTGAACAAGATGACAAGATTTCCCATAAGTGACCAAAAGGCAGCTTGTCACTACTTAGACCTACCACAAAGAATACCACCTGTCTTATTTGTCACTTTGGTTCCAAATGGCTTTGACTTTTCCTTAAAAATTTAATCATTTTTAGAAGATGAACAGCAACCCCCATGGAGACTCATAAGAGTGGAAAACAGGCTGTGAATACATTTACTTGTATTAACATGGAGTGTGTGGTTTTATCCCCTGGCATCCAAACCCACTTGGTAGGGGCTGCTTGACTTAAATCCACTCCACAAATTAGAAAATTCTGGGCCAAGAATTTCTCCAGCCAGGAGACAAGCCTGAAACCTGCTCTTCCAGGGACAAAGGAAAGTCTGTCTCATTTGGGCGTTCGGCAGTCCACAGCTAGAAACTTTAAGGTATACATGCGTGCGTACACACATGTACACACACAAAACAGCAGCTTTGGAACAAAGTCAAGCTATAGTAAGTGGTGTGTCAAACCATGAGCTCCAGGGATCAGCATCTCAGTGACCAGGTTATCCTTAGCGTGGGGATGACACAAGGGAACTATCTCCAGCTTACTGGTATCAGGAGGGTCTTTTGGACACATCCAAACTTTGCAAAGTTTGTTTTCTGGAAACAACAGTAAAATCAGGCTCAAGCCCATCCCTGAGAACCTGTTCTATTTTTCTTTGTAAATGTAGGGTTTGAGGACTCAGGAACTAAGACAATGCCCCTGTGACTAGTCTTAGCATAAGGCGGAGACCTGGCTGTGAAGAGTACCATGAGGTCAGAGTGAGACAAACAACACCGCTCCCATGATGTCCAGAGCACTGACTCATGAGCTTGGGCCTCCGCAGACCCCCATGACAGGCTTCCTAGACCTTCATCCTGACTTGGTATACCTGCTGCAAGAAAGGAGGCCTTCAGAGGCAAGAGCCAATAGGAAGCTGATATCTAGGCTCTTGTCTGAGCATAACTACTCATCACACATGTTCCTCCAGTAAGTGGAGAAGCATTGAGATGTGGCTTCAGACTTGTCCAGGTCTTAGAATATGGAACATTAGCTATGGTAGCCTGGTAGACAGACACATTTCCTGGATGAGGAATGTTCAGGAGCCAGTGGCTAAAGAAGCTAATGTCATAACGTCTGATGACTGAGCTAAGCACACAGAGAACTAGGTCACCAAATAACCTCAAAGAAACTTAAGATTGTTCTCTGTGGGTCCCTTCAGCCTGCTCCTGGTCCTACCATTTCTTTGCCTTTGTCTGTTCCCAGCCTCCATCTCAATGTCTAGGTCCCAGTGTCCCTCAGATGCTCTCTACCTTCCACTCCAGTCTTCTTTGGATCCCCTTCCAATTCTGTGAACCCCCACCTCCCAGAGCCTTTCAGGAAATCCCTTCCAAACCTATGTAGTCTTAGCTGTTTACAAGAACCATGCATTCTCAAGCAGCTAGCACAGTAAGGCAGAGGTAGGTGGCTGGGAAGAGAGCTGGCTGGCTCACTGTCCTCCCTCTAGGCTGAAGCTGGAGCATAACATGCCAATGTCACCACTGTGAACAGATGTTACTAACATGTGTACAATCAATAAGAGTCATTTGAGCAGAACCAGGACTCAGAAACTGAAAAATGACATCACCCAATACAGTATCACAGGCATCCCTAAAGATGTAGGTCAGAGTTTCTCTCTCCATCCTATCCACCTCATGAATATGCATGTGTGTATGTGTATATATAATGTGTGTGTATATGCAGTCCCAGTATCCAAGTGAGGTCTGTGTGGCAAATAGAGAAAGATAGAAGAAATGGACAGAAGGAAAAAAACACTTGATCTTTTATCCCCCAATGCCCAAACACCAAGAATCATCTTCTTTCTATGGTGAAGACTCAAGGATTAAAGTTCCAATCACACACTTCAGGTAGACCAGAAATCCCAAGGAGACACCACTCCAATACATATATGGTAGACAGGGCCACCCAGGCTGCTTAAAAACAAAAGCATAATCCGGATTGATACCAAGTGTCTCTCTCGATTTGCCCACTCCACTTGTCTCAATTCTCTTCTAGTCTTACAGCAACAGACATCGGTGTTGACTAAGAAGGGAATAAGATCACACAGACTCAACACAGCCACGAATCTCAGACCCACCAAGTTAAAAAACAACAACAACAAAAAAAAACCTCCAATGTGAGTTCCATCCATCACCCACACCAGGACATGTGGACCAGATACACCCGTGCATGCACACATGCCAGTACATACATACAAATATATACAAACATCCACCAGCCAAGCAAGACCCTCGGGTAAGCATTCAATAGGTGGTACTGGGCCAAGAACAAAGCATTAAGTGAAGTCACACAGTAGTGAGGCAGAAGGCAACTCGCTTCCTAGTACATTTATTGGAGCTTGGTTAAGAGTGAATGCAATCGGGAGTCCCCAGCCACAGCCCCATCAGCCCAACTGGACCAGAGCTCAGGGGGCCTGGTACCTTTCTTCCCATCATAGACAACATTATTAAAAAAAATAAACTTTACAATAATACATTTTCGCTCATCTGTAGGGTATTATCTCCATAGTTTTGTTTCTTAAAAAAATGAAAGAAAGAGGAAATCACAGGATATATGGATATGGATATACACATATGTTGAGGAAGGAGGCCCAGTATGTACAGACAGTGGATGAATGTCTCAGAAAAGAGGAAAGAGAAAATGGGAAAAAGGAGAAGAGAGGCAAGCTTAGGAGCCCACCAGTGTGCTATGGACACACATCCAGCTAGGGTCTCCCCAGCCCCACTCAGTAACCCTTCTCCCAAAGGGAGAACTGCCAAATGGACCCACAAAAAAAATCCAAAAAGAAAAGCCAACAGAGGATCATTTCTCTTTGACTTCAAGATTCCTGGCGTGAAGGAGGAATGTGCATCTTGGAGCTGGTGCCCAACCAAGGCTTGCTCCTTCCCGGGAGGAGCTTCTCCCTATAACAGCTCCTAACCCCATCAATGCTACAGGCACCTCGGCCCAGAGCAGCCATGGAGGTTCCCACTCCAGATTCAGACCCACTAGGCCACATAAGAGCTGGGGGTGGCAGTAAACCGTCTCCATCTTTGAAGCCAAGAAGAGGTGACAAGGTCCTTATGGCCAGCCCTGCTTCCTTGCTGACCGATACTCTCTGCTAGTCCCTGGGCAGGTCCCCAGAGTAGGCAGCTCAAGAAACAGCTGCAATTGTCCTTTCTCCAGTCCACACCAGTCACGGCAAAGTCCCTTCCACAGCAGGCTGTCATATGGTCCCGAGAGAAGACACCAGTAAAGAGAAAAGAGTTGTTCCACAGCCTTGAGCCCTCCTTGGTACCAGGTGTCCCTCGCAGAGGACCTCTGGGCAGGCTTCAAGCTGCCTGTCTGCTTGTCTGTTTGGTTTAGAAAAATTTCTCCAGAGAAGAAACTTGGGAGGAGAAAGGTTCAGAGACAATGTAGGAAAAACTTATTTTTTTTTTGCAAGGTGTGTGTGTGTGTGTGTGTGTGTGTGTGTGTGTGTGTGTGTGTGTGTGTTTCCATTTTGTCAGGCAGTAGTCACACCTGGGTTGCTTGAAGAACCTTTGTGCTGGTTTCCAAAGGCCTACAAGGCCAAGGTCAGCATCAGGAGCGGTAGTGCTGTCAAGACAGCCGACAGTCTGGCCCTGCTGGAGCCTGAGTAAAGTTTGATCACCTTTTTACTCCCTGGACTGATGTTTGTCGTGAGCTGATCCATGGCAGAGGAGGTAACACATACAAAGAAAACAACAAAAACCCATCAGTAGGGCTGTAGGCAGACAAAGAAATGGACACAGGCAACTGTCTTCTCTGGCCCTGCCTCTCTCACCACACAGGACCCCTCCTTAGCCTCACTTGTGCTCTGAGGGCAGAACTGTGCCTCCTGGGAACTGGGAAAGTTGAGAACAGGAGGACTCTGTCTCTTCCAAGCCTCAAGGCCATGGACAGCCATCCCCAGTAAATGAACAGGTCATCCCCACATTGGAAAATAGGCATGCTAACACAAGCTTGTGAGCCCAGCATTCAGGAGGTGGGGGTAGGAAAATCGTAAATTCAAGGACAGCCTTGGGTAAAAAGTGAGTTCAAAAACAGTAAGGACCATAAAGTAAAGATCCTACTTCAAAAGCAGCAAACAAACAAAGATTCCAAAGAGATGAGGCTTCAGGGTCCATAAGGACCTGATTATTGACAGGGAGGGAGGGGATTTCCTTCTCCTTGCTCCTTATAGGACATTCTTCCTCCGCAATTCCCTCACCCCTGCACACCTCACAGAGCTTCTCCCTCACGCTTCTGCAGACCCTTGCACCACCCTTCTCCTCTCACCTAAGTTATTTTCCCGGATCTATGAGTCACTCCTACAGTCCTGGGCAAGGGGCTCTTTCAAGATTCTGGGTCCTTCTCTACTTCCATGCCCTTTAACCACCACAGAACGAGAGCCAAGCAAGTACTCAACCCAAAGCAGCTATTTGTCATCCACAAGGATGACACCCACAGGCTCTGGATGGAGCCTTCGCCACCCCAACAGAGTGAGTCCTCACTCAGATCCAAGTGGGGTCGAAGTTCAGCTGACCCATGGGCTCTGAGTTCAACTCCCACCTATAAACAGCACCTTTGGGCCAGCATCAAGTTCCTGTCCCCCACGGTGCCCTTACTCACCTCTGTGAAGCACATGCTTAACTCTTTGGAGTTGTTGGCCTTCAGCCCTTGCTCCTAGGGAAAAAAGGCAGGACAGGTTAGAAGGCTGTTTGGGTCCGGACTTTATCCAGGGTTGCCATTTACTGCTGGCACCTTTAAGCACAGGGTACATGACAGACATCTCTGGCTGGGTCCCATGCAGCATGAAGCGCCCTGCTCCCTTTGAAACACTCTGTGGGCTCCTGTAGAAAACTTTGATCTCTAGTTTGCAGCATTCAGTGGTCACCAGCCATCTGCCTCTCCGAATACTACTCACACCTCCCCAAAGACAGAGAACATGTCTTTTCCTTGCACTGATCAGTGCTTGGCTCATAAGAGCAACTCAGCTAACATTTTACTAAGTGCACACAAGTGCAAATGAATAAATGCCACAGAGAAAAATGGCTACTGGGTACCAGCTCATCATATTCCATTGCTGCTGGAGAGTCGTGGAGGAAAAGATGATGAGCCCTCATCGGAGTTCAGGAGAGAAGAGAGCCATGATTGATTAGCGATGCCTGTCACTAATGTTAGGGATCTAGCAACTGTGCTGGGTCATTTCCACCCCAAACAGATGTGTGCACCTGGGCCCTCTGCAGATGAGGTGAGGGATGAGAAAGAAAAGCAGGTTTGGTAATGCGCCCGAATTCTCTACCTTGACTTAACTACTTGGCAGCAGGACTAAAAGATATGTACAACCAACAATTCTCTGTTAGCAACACTGTGATAGAGACACGTGAGAACAAACTGGAGGCGTGGCACATCTATACTGTCTTCAAATACCTTGGTTCTCACAGCATTTATGGGGACACTCTGGCCACTAGAAGCACCTAGGAAGTCCAAGAAATTACGTGGAAGTCACTGTTCTTGGCCAGAATTATCAATAATCCCTTGGCCACCATAGCAACCGATCATCCTGGACATCTGGTCAATTGAGTGAGGGCCCAGCTGTCACACAGAGATCCAGGCCAAGAAAGTGTGGTGGTAATACAGACCAGAGGAACATGCTCAGGACCACAGTACCAGTGTCCCCAGGTGACAAACTCTGGCCTAGCCAAGCCACCAACTGCTAGTCTCTTCAGAGTGTCCTGGACGCTAGGGCCTTATATCCCCAAAGATGGACTTCTTCTCCTCAAGGCACAGTGCCACTCTAGCCATGCTCTCTCTGGGCAGCCACTTCAGGGAGAACATGTCACCTCATCTCAGAGGATGTACTGTCGTCACAGTCTCCCACCTGGCACCCTCTCCCACTCTAATCCTCACATCTGTCCTTCCTGTGTACTGCCAAGAATCTATTTTCACACAGCACCACTTTCTATTCTAACTATGGGGTGTGGCAAGCCTGGCCTGCCCTCAGCAGTTCCATGGCTTAGTCCTATGTTGTCCTACCCCACACTTCAATGCTCACTAGACATGGAACCCATGGAAATCACAGAGTCAGACAACCTCACAGGATTCAAGGTCCTTCTCTCATTCCAACCAAAGGTGCCATGTCTTTGTTTTATTAATGTCTTTTAGAGTTACACATAAAATTGTTTTAAAATAGTCTGTTGCCTGGAAGAAATTAAGATCTGAGAGAACAACCAAACAATTACCTAAGGTGGGGCAGCCACAATACTCTGTGACTAGACAAATGCTCAGATAGCCCACGAAGGCTTCTAGACATGGACACTGATGGCCATACAGGATTCTACACCAAGACCAGAACACAAAGAAAAGGACAAAAAAAATGTTCCCAGGCCTCAAATCAGAACCTTGTTCTCCAGCTCACCCAGGAGCATAAAGATAGAGTATAGAGATAGCGTTGTAGGGATAGAGTGTAGACAGGGTGTAGGGATAAGAGTGTAGAAAGAGTGTAGGGATAGAGTGTAGAGATACAGTGTAGGGAAAGTGTAGGGATAGAGTGGAGTGTAGAGATAGAGTATAGAGATAGAGTGTAGGGATAGAGTGTAGAGATAGAGTGTAGAGATAGAGTGTAGGGATAGAGTGTAGAGTGTAGGGATAGAGTGTAGAGAGTGTGTAGGGATAGAGTGGAGAGATAGGATCTGAACACACATGCCCCTGACTTCTGCATACCTTCCTCCCCAGAGTGACTAGGGCCCAGCAAGTTCTTCCAATCAGGAAGAAGAATCCTTCAGAACCCAAAGACGTAGAGTCCAGGGCTGTGAGAGGCTACTACATGCAGTAAGGACAACCTGTCAGATCTCATGCTGCCCATGAGTTACAAGATCTAGTTCTAGAATCCTCTACCTGCCTAGTCCCTTTGATTGCCTATACTCTAGGACCTAAATTCCTGCTCCAAGGTAGTCTGGAACAGAGTAAGAATCAGGGACCTGAGAAGGCAGAGTCCTGTGCTCAAGACTTGGTCCTGCTGATTACCCTGGGCAAACTTACTGATCCTGTTTCCTCAGCTATAAAATAACCTAGACAGATGTATGTACATCACGAAGTGTCATGAGAGACACTGACCCATAGATCTCAAAATTACCTACTCATCACACAAAGCATGACACAGCACCAAGTGGTTTTGTATCAGGAAGTGAGCATCCAAGTGACAGGGAAGGAGCCTTAAGGTCCTGTCAGCCTGCAGCCTTTGGCCAGTGAGGGATATGCAACTGGGCAGCATCCTGCTCTCTCCAAGAACTCCTCTACCTCTCTGCACAATGACAACTCTGGAGGCAAAAGGCTGGAGAAAAAGCCTCTGCCCTCCGGATTCCAGGAAACTGAGTAGCTAGCAAATGGCTGCAGTGACCTCCAACGGCTAACCCAAGGCGCCTCCATCCAGTTCTAGTCACACAAAACAGCAGGGGGGAGTCCCAGCATGGCTTTTCTAAAAGTAGACATGGGTGGGGAGGAGCAGAGAGATGGAAGTTCTACTACCTAATGCCAGAACACAGAGGCTCAGAAGCACTGCCTCCTGCCCTCACTGGCTGAGGCTGCTCAGAGGAGATGAGATGATTCGCAGGTAAGGGTGCTTGTCAACAAGTGTAAGAACCTGAGTTTAGTCCCCAAAACCCGTGGAAGAAAGAGAGAGCTAACTCTTACAAGTTGCCCTCTGTTATCTGCATTTGTGACACGGTACATATACATACACATAAAAATGAATAAAGGCTTACAGAATCAGAAAAATAAACCTATACACAAGGGTCTCTAGGCAGCCTTAATCCGAAGAGGGGGGCCCATCTTCCCCAATCTCTCAGACAGACAGACAGACAGACAGACAGACAGACAGACAGACACACCACCCACACTCACACACACACACACACACACACTCACAAGGGCTCTGTTCTCAGATGCTCAGAACCCTGTGCCTGCCCTGCTCAAATCCTCTCATAAGGCAGGATCAGGGCTGGTGGGTGTTGATCTCCCAAAGGACACAGGCCTAGGCTGCTAGGACAGAAGGGCTCAGCACTTCCCACAATTACCCTTATCGCCTGAAGGTGGGGCAGAGGGTCTTTGTACCCTGATGCCTGGAGGCTGTGCTGTAGAGGCCACCAAAAGCATGAGAAAAAAAAAAGCAGGTGACACAGAAAAGGGGTGACACCTGCAAGTTTTATCCTTCCAAAACTTCCAAGGAGGTCCTTTTTGCCAGGAAGTTAAAAGGAAGTCGCCATGCTATCTCCTAAAGCCAAGTCTTAATGTCCCAAGCGTCTCTCTGGCTTGGGCCAGATGCTAGTGACTCAGTCCCGGTGCCAGCTGCTGGGCAGGCAGAGCCAGCCAGCTCTCTCCTGTACCCTATTCCTGTTTTCAGACCCACCCCAACCTTAAGCCCTTGGCCTTCTCTCTCACCTGTACCCTTTGAACAGGCTGAGGGCTATCTCTCCTGTATTCCTCACCCACGATGACCCTCATTTCTTCTCTGTTTCTTTCCCTCACTCTCCATCTAATCTTTCTTTTCAAGCCTGTGACTGGGTATCACAGGGCTCTTCCAACAGGCTTCCCTGACTCTATCTCTGCCCTGCCAAACAATTCCCACCTGCTGTCAGATTAAGGCCTACACTCTAGGTTCTGAGCAGATCCCATACCACCGCCCCACCCCACCCTCACTGCTCACCACTTTCTGCCTATTCCACAATACAGTACCCAACCATCCACACACAGCCCTCACTGTGCTGCCAAACCAACACTTGTATTTCTTCCAGGTCAAAGTCATGGTAAATGTGCTCAGTAAAGGGAAGTGGCAACCATTGTAGGCTTTGCAGCCAGAATGATTGTCATAACTGCCTACAATGCTGCCTATGGCACAGAAACATCATGCAAACACCCTAAGTCAGCAGCTCAACCCTACCTCTGCCTGCCACACCCTTGTTTACTCCAAACCATGTACTCAATGCTCCTCCAGTTCCTCCAGGCTGGGCCGCAGATTTTCTCTTGCTGGCTAGTCCTTGGCTTCCACTGCCACACAAGGTGAGGCCTCCTACCCTAACCCTCAGTAGATCACCTGAGTGTGTCCCCTCTCTGCCCCACTTCTATGAGGAACAGAGTACTGGTTGAATGAGGTTCTCAGTATCAGAGGCCAAGATAGAGTGATATGCAATTAGAATTTCTATTGAATAAATGAAACCATGTGCTAATGTGTATCCCAGCCCCATGGTCCGGTACTGAAGGGCCTGGGAAAGAAATCCATACAGGAAGAAAATAGGATGGGTAAAGAGAGAGAAATGCTGCTGCTTGCAAAATCTGCTTCATGCATGAGGTGAAGGTTTTATAGCAACCCTAAACCTCTTTTCTGAGATGTGATGGGACAGTCTCCTGCCTCAGACTTCACAAACAAAAACTTGGTTATCTGAAACTGGCTTGCCTCCCAGAGACCAGTGGAGTGGATGGAAAGACAAGGCCATTCAGACAATTATAGAGAGATTCTGAGGCTGAAGACCATCTCAGAACATATCAGAAGCTCTCCAAGTTACAGAGAGCCACAGAAAGGGGGCCACAGTTGGGTTTTTTCTAGGAAACATGTTTCTAGGAAACAACCCAACTGAGGCTAAATCAAATATGCTGGACAAAGTACTAGCTCAGGGTTCCCTGATGGGGGATATCTTTCTATATGCTGTGAATATGTTCCTCTTATTGGTTGATGAATAAAGCTGTTTTGACTAATGGACAGGCAGGATGTAGTCAGGCAAGAAGTATAGGCAGGGCTACCAGACTAGGAGAATTCTGGGAGAAAGAACTCTAAGAGTGAGTCTCATGTAGTGAGATGCCATGTAGCTGCAGAGGAAACAAGAGATCTGGACATCACTGGTAAGCCAAGACCATGTAGAGATACACAAATTAATAGAAATGGGTTAATAATTAAGAGGTAGCTAGCCAATAAGAAGCCTGAGCCATCAGCCAAATGGTTTATAATTAATATAAGCCTCTGTGTGTTTATTTGGTACTGAACGGCTGTGGGACTGGGTGGGACAAAAACTTCCATCCACAGCTTCCCTATGCCATATCACATTCCTGCATCCCTATCCAGTGGGTCTTCAATAAGAACAAGAGTTCTCAAGCCCACATCTGCTTTTTGTGCAGAGCAGACTTAAAAGAGGAGAAGCACAAGGCAAACAGAAATCCAGATCCTGGCCCTGCTCAATCACCAAGTGGCCATGAGGTTACAAACAAGGTCCCACCCTGGGACCCTTCGGTTTGGGAAAGAGATGCTAAAGGAGTCTTCTGATGGGGGAAGTCCTTCTGTGTATATGTGTCTCTTATTGGTTAATGAATAAAACACTGTTGACCAACAGGGAAGCAAGATAGGTGGGACTAGGAGAGGAGGATTCTGGGAAATGTAGTAAAGTCGAGTCACCATGGGATCCCAAGTCCTTATAAAAATATATAGAGAATCCATACCCTACCTGCCTGCTTTTCGGTGCTGTGTCAGTTTTGTGTTTTCAGGTCTGCTATTTTTGTTGACTGTGTAAATGTAAAGGTCCTGTGTTGGGGTCGCTAGAGAAATCTCCCTGACCTGATCTTCCTACTTGGCCTGCATTGAGGGACTCTTTCTATAATTATGTGTTACTGAACTCTCAAGGGTCCCAGCTCAGGACCATCACAGAGACCATCAGTCATAGATATCACAAATTAGAGTTGATAGACAGGAGAGGGATTTAGGGTAAGAAGGAGCAGAGCCCCCAGGCCAGCCCCCAGCTGAACCATGACAGAGAAACTGGGCAAAGGTGAAAGGGGGTCCCTAAAAAGATGGTGAACAGTGAATCAGAGGCATTCCCCTTGTATTTCTACACGGGAATCCAAGAGGGAATAATAAGCAGGTCTCTCCTAAATACCTGACTTTCTTCCTTGTCTTCTGGAATGGCTGTCCCTGGTATCCTGGTCAATGACTTAGTCAATGGGTGCCAGGCTGACAACCCCTGGGGCCAGGCCTGCAGGAACCACCTGCTAAGGAGTCTCCCACCCGCCAGAGCTTCCTAATCCCGCCTCTGGACAGCATTCCTCAGTATCCAGTGCACTTTCATGTCATCTCCCCTAGAATCAAATCAGGATTGAGACAAGCCCCCAGACTGGAGCCTGTGAAAGCCCTTGTTGTAGGGGGATAAGCTAAGCAAGGATGCTTTACCAACCTAAACCCCAAAGAATGGGTATAGTGGGAAATTGCCAATACGGAGTCAGGTAGAAATATAAGGGTATTTAATAGGGAAAAGCCTTACTTACAGAGCTACCTAGCCAGCCGGCGTGGCAGCAGTCTGTATGCAAGCCCAAAAGAGAAACCGAAAGTGAAAACACAGTCCCCAGGTCCCCTGACCATACCCTCAAAAGCTTGTGAGGGTGTGGTCAGGCATACCTGTAGCCAGCCCCTAAGTAGGTGTGGCTACAGCTTCCCCTACAATTCCCCTTTTAGTCTAAAAGAGGATTAAAACTTAACAGTTTAAAGTCTAAAAAGATACCACAATCTGCTTATGTCACATCCTAACTATCTATTTTAACTAAACCCTAAAGTCATCTGAAAGAGGTGTTCAAGCCTGAACACCTCCTTCCAATCCCAACCATAAACAATAGGAAGCTATTCCTAACTAGGTATGGGGCTGGCTACAAATGAGATGACATAGCCAGTAAAGGTTTTTACTATGCAAACCTGGAAATTTTGAGTTTGAGTCCCAGAAACCCACACAGTGTAGGAGGAGAGAACTGATGCCACAAAGATGTCCTCTGACCTCTACATATGTGTCGTGGCATGTGCACCTGTGTATACACATTCTACACAAACAGGCTTGCATATAGTAATAAATGATTAATCAATATGAGAAGTAATTTCTCTAAGAAGAAAAATGAGACTTGGAGTTACTAGGCACTGAGGAGTCTTGGGTGAGGGCTCACACCACAGCACTGAAATTCTCTGTGCCCACAAGGGTTCACAAGGAGGGTATAGGCACAGTGACGTTATGATAATGTAGCTCCTCCACAGATGAGCTGTCCCCAAGAAGCTTGGGATCAATGGACCCTCTGGAGTCATGTAAGGCATGGGACAGGCAAATTGTGCCTGCACCTGGTCATCTAGCAGGCAGCACAACTCCAATCAACCTAACTGTCACATTAGCATGATATTGAGCTGACAGCTGTCTATGGAATGAGAACCTAAGACCTCTCCTGGCAGTCGTTGAAGCATGCCCAGTGTAATTAGGAGGTAGCCAAAGATGACATGGATGCCTTCAACCAAACTAGGGACGGTGGCTTAATGAAGGAAGTAAGCCACAGAAAGGCTCCAACCAAAGGCATTTAAAGGTAAATGACATTGATAAGAAGACCCCAGCAAGGAGCAGAAGGAACAGTGGCTTCCCTAACCACGAGGGTCACCAGCACAGAGCTGTGATTTGATTGGCACCCAGGAGGAACCGGCTCAAGTTCTCACCCTGGTGCTATGAATGTTACGTTCTGCTGATCAGAGAAGCCCACCATCATCCACCTCCAAAACCTTGTAGCAGTCAGTACCCTGATAATGTTCTCCAGACCCCAGCAATGTATTCAGTCAGTCTCTGAGATCTCCTGCCTGAAACATCTCCTGTGCTCTCTACACACACACTGCTCATTTCAGCATCCTGGACTGAAGTTTCTTCCAAATATTTTTTGTTCTAGATGTTTATGTATACATGTGTGTATATGTGTGTGTGTCCATGTTTGTGTGTGTGTCTATGTCTATGCCTCTCTCTCTCCTCCCTCTCCTCCCCCCCCTCTCTCTCTCTGTGTCTGTCTGTCTATGCCTGTATCTGTGTGTGTGTGTGTGTGTGTGTGTGTGTGTGTGTGTGTGTGTGTGTGTGTGTGCATGTGTGTGAGTGAGTATGCATCTGGCCTGCTTAGTATCAACTTCTTTAGCAAACAAGCTACAACAGTGAAGGGTATCATTGTTTGACCTTCAAGGCCATAAAGACTACATGTCTTAGTTAGAGTTTCTATTGCTACAATGAAACACCATGACCAAAAGCAAGATGGGGAGGAAAGGGTTTATTTGGCTTACACTTCCACATTGTACTGCAAGCCAGGATGGAACTCAAACAGACCAAGAACCTGGAGACAGGAACTGATGCAGAAGCCATAGAGGAGTGCTGCTTACCGGCTTGCTCCCCATGGCTTGCTTGGTCTGATTTCTCTAGAACCCAGGACCACCAGCTAAGGGGTGGCACCACCCACAAGGGGCTGGGCCCTCTTCCCCCATCAATTGCTACTTAAGAAAATGCTCCAGAGGCTAACCCACAGTCTGATCTTAGGAAGGCATTTTTCTCAGTTGAGGTTCCTCCTCTCAGATGACTATAGTTTGTGTCAAGTTGACATAAATCTAGCCAGCACACTATACAACCCAGGATAGCATCAATCTATGTTTAACAATGTTTCCCTAAAAGCTCATCTAAGATACATCATAGACTGGGTCTGTATGCCGCATTTCATGGATGGATGGATGGATGGATGGATGGATGGATGGATGGATGGATGGATGGATGGATGGATGGTGGATGAACAATCCAATTAACACTATAAGTCTTGGAGTCAGATGAAGGTTTGAAATCTCATGCCACCAACTCTTAGCAGCATGATCATGGATATGTCACTTAAGACCTCTGGATCAGTTTCCTGAATGTTGAATAAAAATGTTGTCACCTCATTGCAAATTCAGTGAAATGAGAATTACCATACTTACTGATAATTAGCAGACAGTAGCTGTATGGTAACTATTACATTTCTCTTGTGCCCCAGTATGTCTAATTCAATACTGTTAGGTAACAAGTGTTTTCATATTTGAAAAGAAAATGCCAAAATGAACAAAGAGGTGGAAAAAATGTTCTTTCCCAACTCCCTGGTACTTTGGGCTCCTAATCTTAAGGATCCTTCAGTGTTCCTTCAATGATCCCATTTGAGTGATTTCCCATATCATATCTGACACCCTGGTGCACTCCCAAATCTTGAGCTATCCCAAGTTCCAGTTTCCAAGCTTCAGAGACACAGCCCTCACCTGGATAGATGTGCAGGTGGTGATGACACTGGTCCCCAGGCTGGTGCTATCACTGAGATCATCTGGCAATGAAGGAGTCTTCTCCACCCGAGGGGCCTGGGTAGCTGGGAATGAGGGGCCTTTGGGAGACATGTTCACATCTGTGCCATTGCCAAAGGCCTGAATGGCATTCCCTGGAGAGAGGACAGACAGAAATATCAAAATCAGAGCCCACTTCCATCATTCCCGGTGAACTTCCTTCCTAACTACTGCCCTCCCAAAGGAGCCTAGAAGCTGGAGACAAATGGTAGGACACTGGAATTTGACTTTGCTAAGACTCCTTTCAGATGTAAAATGTTCTCCCAATTGGTAAGGAAAATAATAGAAAATCTAGAAAGAACAGAAAAATCAAAATGGAAATAACTAAACATGATGAGAATTGCTAAAAGGAAAAGGCGAGTGGAGCCATGAAGTCTAGAGACAGTTGGCCAGGCCAAGATGGCAGGAACATCTTCTTAGTGATCAGCACTGGAGACCTCTCTTACAGAAGGCCCCATCCTTGACTTCCTTGTCACAAACTCTTCCAGCTCCATTGCCAACTTAGGTACTAACTGATGCCTACCCCAGACTCAGCCACTCTCCCTCTCCACATTCCTGGTTTTTCCTGGATGACCTCCTTATCCCATGCCATCAACTAGCACTAATCCAGTAGGGTAAACTAATTGGTCTTCTTGAACAAAATTATTCTTAAAACTCAACAAGTGCCTACAGAAATATCTACCTCCAAAGCCGTCATGTCTCATTGTAGACTATGAATACCTTCCTACCGTCAACAATGTTTTCTCCCCTTTATTGCCAGTCCCATACCTTTTCAACTGGCTACTACCCAGCTGTCCTCACGAAGCCTTGAGTTCTCCCTTGTCCAGGAGGACTTGGGTATCTGAACTCTGACACCATAGAGAACTGTACCTACAACCTCCATCTGTGATGGGATCACAGATGACTCTTCACTTGACCTCCATCTAGGTCTTTAATGACAGGCACTGGAATATATCTCTGAATCCCCAGTGCCAGGCAGAAGGGAAGGGGGGAAGACAGATGAACAGAAGGAAAATGGGAAAGAAAGAATGGGGGTGGCAAAACCAGCAAGAGATGTCAGGATGCAAAAACCAAAAGCAGACTGAACTTGACTGTGACCACTTCGTTCTACAGCTTTTGGACCAGTAGCTAAATGACTTTTTTTTTTAAGTCACCAGTTCCAAGAGGAAAGACCTACTACATAGAGAGGGTGCCACTGGTCCTCATAGGAAGACAGTCTCCAAAGGAAACTGGCTGATATTGTCAGAACAGCCAATGAAAATCATTCTGTCTTGACTTCCCATAGGCTTGGGGACTCTGATGGTAGGTTCAGGCAGCCCACTGACAGTTCTGGTACGAAATCCCCAAGAGTTCAAAACTTCAGGTCTCTCTAAGAAGACTTACATGGTATAGAAGGCCCACAGGTATCATTGGGCATCCTAACACGATGAGAGGAAAATGACCAGGGCAGCTCTAGTGTCCCTCCCAGGTAACAGATGTGTATTAAGCTAGGGAACAGAAGGAACAGAAGAGTTTCCCAGACTTACGGAGGCATGGGTTTTCTGTGAAATCCCTGAGGAACTTCTCACACTCTTCCTCCTGGTTCCCACTACCACGACAATTGCACCAGGGAGACACAACGATGCCAGTAGGGCTGGAGTCCACATAGTTGGGCGTCATATCAAACCCTTCAGGGGAGAAAGCGAAGGAAAAGATGCATAGGCGCAGTAGGACAAAGGTTTTGTTTGCCCGCCCATGGCAAACAAAACACAGACACCTCAACTTACAATCCTAACCCTGAGCACAATTCCCCCTAGGGACCATGGAACCAGCAGGACCAAAAATGCCAAAGGCCTATCGAACCACCAGTCTCTGTGTCATCAGGAAGTCAGAAAAGACCCCAGAAGCTCATGCCCAGCCTTCAGGTCCCTGCTTTCTCCCTCTCGTGCAGAGTGAGTCTTCTAGAATCCAAAAGATGAAAGCACTCATCCTGGGTTGGAACTGAGTGCTAGAATATACCAAATAAGTGAGTCTGGTCAAGGATCTATTTCTCTTAAGCATCAGTTTCCTTGCCTGTGAAATAGAAATAGCTACTTGGTGAAAACTCCAATGTAAGAGTCCACAGGGAGTGATTAGCAGTGCCTAGAAGGCTGAAGCTTAATTTCCAAAGCCTTGTAACAAAGAAACAGCCCTCCTGAAAAGGAGTAGCCTCCCTCTGTTTTCACCTGAATGCTCTGTCTGAATCTGCCACAGGCAAGGTTGTGTATGAGTCTCTTACACCAGCTTGGGCTGGGATGCAGCAATCCTCACCTTAGTGGGCGGGGGGGGGGGGGGCCGCGAAAAAAAAAAGAGAGCCTACAACCCATCCCAATCATGCCAGCATAGGAACCCAGACACGCCTGATAGTTGTCTGCAGGGCAGCTGGTGAGTGTCCGGTAGGAGGCTCGACAGTTGGCATGGAAGTCTGCCAGGCGGGACCTGGTGTCAGGAAAAGACCCAAGGAGGAAACAGTTTAGTCTGGCAGCCTGCTCCAGCCTCCTCCACACTGCTTGGGGCATAGAAGCTCCACACTGTGGATCCTAGAACCTGAGGAAGCCAGGAAAGGGGGGAATAGAAAGTGAAGGGAGACAAGCAGAGCCAGGCATAGTGCAGTTAAAGAAAAGCCCCAGCCATGCATCTGTAATATCAGCACTCAGGGCTAAAGCAGGAGGAGTGTTATCACAAGTTTGAGGCCAACCTGAGCTACATAGTGAGTTCCAGTTAGCCTGAAACATAGCAGGAGATTTGTCTCAAAAAAAAAAAAAAAAGGCAAAACTAAAGTTCAGAGACAAATGGACCAAACTGGAGATGCTCTCCAACTGGTTCTTGCTATCAGAGGAGGGAAGGCTGTGCTGACAGTATCCAGGACCACTTCCTGCCATCCAGAGCCTTGGAGAAGGATGTCCAAACCCTGGAACACATTGCTCTTCTCCCATATTCCCACATCACCAAGCAGAGCCCACCTCTTAAAGTTTTCTCTTTGTGACCTAGCATGCCATCACTCACTCTTGTCAGTACCTGTGACATTGCTTTGTAGCCACTTGTGCTCAGCTCTGCCACACTTAGCCAGGAGCAGGACCTGGCCTGTTCTCTGCCCTCAGCCTCAGAGCTGGGTGTGACACAAAGTCCAATGCCCACCGTTGGCCCCTTTCTTTCTCCCTCTTGCCCTAGTGCTCTGCACACAGAGGTTTCCATCAGCCTGGACTGGAGAGGAGGCCCCCCTCCCTGTCATGTCTAAAATAACCATTACCTCCAGCAGAGTAGGGTCCTGGCCATGTCACCTCATTTATCTGCTTATCTGAGTCTCTGACAACACAGAGACAGTGTGGTCCCACCAACACATCACCCTCAGACTTGTGGCTTCTGGAACTGTAAGAGCCTATTTCTGTCTTAAGCTGCCTAGTCTCTGGTACTTTGATACATCCCTGGCAAACACTAGGATTTTCAAAGACTCCACTTTGGTCAAATCTTCCTCCAGAAGGAAGCAAGGGCAATAGGATGAAAGAAAGGCAGAAGCGGAGGTCCTGCAGAATCCTGTAATATGAGCAAACACTAGTTCAAATCTTCTGTATGAAGCTGTCCTGTTTAACTTGTTCAAACACCCCCTCTCACTGAAATTCATACATCCATTTCAATTCTACATGGCCATGTGTAGAACCTGTCTCCCACTTCCAGCATCCCCAAAGCCACACCCAACCCTCCTCCACAGAGGTTTTTTCCTATGATCACACAGATTTGTCCCCTTTTCCATATGCAACTACACAGAAAATCTGGACCAGGCAACTCGACAGCACAGAGACTTGCTGATATTGCCCTTAATCACTCTAATGACAACATCCACTGCTAATGTGGGGATTTTATTTCTTTCTTCATTCATATCCTCCAAGGCTCTGTTAAACATGGGATGGTAGATATATCCCTCATCCTTGTTCCAACTATGTTGGAGCATATCCCCAGGCATGTGACTAACAGAGTCAAGATGGCAATGGTAAGCACGTCAATATGACACCAGAAGGGAACCCCAGTGACATGGTCAAGGCAGTATGCTCCCCAACTCCCTAGGGCTTTGGTGTAATGTCACGATCTGCTCACTTTCTTAAAAATAACATTATCTACCCAAAACTGAGCAGGGGATTCCAGCTAGACCTGCAGCTGTTGGAGCCTCCTGGACTGCTCCAGTCACCACCAGCATCTCGAGCAGCCTTCTCTTCTATAACAAGTTTGGCTCCAAGATCAAATGACACTGAGAACTTCGAATGTCTTTTAGTTGGCCTCGAAGTCCAAGGAGCCTGTCAAAATGTCACCAGCCCAAAGGCTGGAAAAAGGAGTGGAAACACAAATGGGAGAGTATGAGAGTGGTCCTTTGGGGATCTAGGACCTTTCCCTAGCTGACCAAAGATCAGCCAGGCTCTGTGGGAGAAGTGGAGGTGGGGATGCAAGCCAGTGAGCAGAAGGTAAGAGAGTACAGACCTTTTCAAGAGTTGTGGCTAGAGGGGCTCCTGAGTTGGCAAGGAAAAGGCCAGTCCAGCTGCTGTGAGAGCCATCTGTCACATGGCTGTGCTCAACCCCTTTCTCTATTATGTGACCTGCGGCTCACTGGCCATGTCTCTGATACTCAGTGTCCCCACTTAACAAATAGAAAGTTATGTCTGCCCAGAGCTTCAATAGAGCGGTCAGAGTAGCCAGCCACCAACATAAACAAGAATCATCATTTCTGTTGCCTTCTCTTATGCAGATGTCTGGTCCCCAGCACTATGCCTGGGACTGACAAGTGCAAACAAGAATAGCTTTTCATGACCCACAGAGAAGAAAAGCACACCACTTTATCCTATATGGAGGTAGGTAATGTGAACACATCAAGGGAAGGAAGGGCTGAACCCACTCCCCCTTTCCATTCCATGAAGAGCACAAAGTGTGGAGGGACAGGCCCTGGAAGTTAGGAAATACTCACAGAGCCCCCAAGGCCAGGTCCCCAGGGTAATGTGCAGAGGAAACAGCATCTCAGTGCTGCATGGCTCCAGCCTCCTGCCCTCAAGAAACTGTTCAGAGTGAAGGGAAGGGGAGGATGTGGGTTTGGACCAGCAGTTGGTCAGGGGAAGGAGAAGGGAAGGGAAGCAGCTAGACCGTCTGCTATCATCTTCACCGCTCTCAGCATCAAGACAGTTTGGCAGGCAAAGGGGACAAATGGGGCCATTTAGGAGGTTGCCAAGTCCAAGTCTCCAGGAGGCCTTTGATTGCTCGAGTTTTTCTCTGCCTCTCAATCTGTGACAGACCCATAGTGGCGGGCTCCCTTCGCCAGCTGAAGAGACCACGTGGAGTCAATTTCCTTCAAGCTCTGTACAAACTCCACAACTCCAACACAATGAGAACCCAACCACATGAACACTCCAGCCCAACCCATAATATGTGGGGTGCCAGCTGGTGATCTCTACCTCCTCTAGGCAAATGTCACTCATCCCTGCGACCCTGGGATGTCTCCGGTCTCTTGGATCCTGTTACTGCTGCCAAGAGTTGATCTTTGCTGGATCAGTGCCACACATCACGGGGGCCTTTAAGACACCCCCCCTGCCGCCACGAAAAGAAATGGTGTAAAGAAATCATGAGAGGGAAAGACAGACAGACACTTAAACAGAGAGAAAGGAGCACAGAGACACCAAGAGAACTGAAGTGTTCACAAACCAATTCCACTTCACTGAGCTCAGGGGAGCAGGAGGATTGCCCCAAAATCACAAGCCCTCTTTGGGCCAGCTTCATCAACAGCTGTGGCCTATTCAATCACAGGGAAGCAGCAGGAGAGAGGCACTTGACCCTAATTTGATGACAAGGTGGCCATATTAGAAGCTGTATGCCCATTTCATTTAAATTTCAGACAGATGTGGGGATTTTAATTATTATTATTATCATTATACATCTCAGACATACTTGTACTAAAAAAATTTTCTGAATCTAATTCAATTTTTGCTGGACATCCTATATTTTTATCTGTTAGCCAGGTGCCCTGGCAAAAGGAGAAAGAGCAGAGCTGGGTATGCAGACAGCAACCCACATAGATGCATGCACACAGATTGAGGGCTGGGGCACTTCTTCAAAGGGTGGGAAACAGACTACCAGCACTGTCATTGGCCAGTAATTGTTGGACATGCAAATTCTCTAGCCTCCTCCCTAAACACACCCTACCTGACATTGTAGCAGCAGACACTAATCATCCAGAGGATGGCATGGCAGGCTCCAGTCTGAAGTGTGGCAACCTGAATGGCTGAGGATTTGAGATTGTGGGTGCTTTTCATGCCATGCCTTCCGGCCTCAGCTTTAAATAACCCTACTTTATACCCCAGTGGAAGAAATAAAACCCTAGGAGGCTTTTGGTTGCATGAAGAATATGCATGAGCACACACATGCACACACACATGCACACACACACACACACACACACACACACTTCACAGTTATATGGACATGCCCTTCTAACTGCTTTGTGTGTGGTGTTATCCAAAAGAAAGGACACGGATTTGTGTTTTATTAGTGACATTCTGTCTTGGCCCAGGCCGTAACACCTTTCCAAGTCTGCTAAGGAGTGCTACATTTTGAGTCTGAAGTGTCACCAAAGGCCAATGTTTTGTGTGTGTGTGTGTGTGTGTGTGTGTGTGTGTTCCACAGCTACTGCTGCTTCTAAGGGGACTACGGAGCCCTAGGAGGTGGGACTAGCAGACAGCTAGAGGTGGGGACTTTGAAGATTTTAGCCTGGTCCTTAATTCTGGCCACTCTCTGCTTCCTGTGCACCAATTTTGTGACAGTCCTCTACCACATGCTGCCACCGTCATGAATTCTGCCACACCCTCCCTGCCATGACAGACAGACTGCATCTCTCAAAAATCATTAGTGAAAATGAAGCTTTCTTTTCATAAAATATCTGTCGGGCATTCTGTCACAGTATCACAAAGAAACTGACACAGAAGGTGAATTTCTCCCCCAAAAGCCCAGAATCCTCCAATGCTGGCCAAAGCATGGCTTCTGTTTTGCAGTTCTTTTGACTTTCCAAAGTTCCCATCCACCAAGTTGTACCTACTATGTAGCTAGAATGGAAGTTAATGAATGGCAATCTATAGTTGTAGACCATGGTCAGGGGCCTGCCAATCACCAGTACTGCTTCGTGTCTATGACTAGGACACTTGAACATTTCATGGAAGGGTAAAGTGCTCCCAAGAAGAGTAAATGACCCAGGATAGACTATATGGACACCACCTTCTGGGACCAGGTGAACACCAGGCCCAGACTGGATCAACTGTAAAACCCCTTTCTCTTGGCCATTATGGTCCAAAGAGGGCCCCTTATTAAGCAAGAAAGAACATTATTTGCTTTCTGGTTTCTAGACTTTAGCACAAACATACCAGGTTCCACAGTTGTAGCCTTGGGGTCACATTAAGAACATTTACATAGCA